TTTCCTTATTGAAAACTGCTCCACATCCAGTTTTATTGCTGTCTTTGGAGCCATCTGTGTAAATGTGCGAGTAGTTTGGGTATTTTCCCTGAATATTAAACAGTTTTTCTTGGTAGGTTAATGGATGGGTTTTATTTTTAGGGAGCTTGTTTAAATCAAGAATAATCACAGGCTGCTTAAGTAGCCAGGGTGGTAAGCTTAATTTAACAGTATCATGGATGTTTGTGATTGGAATATCCATGTCTTCCACTATGGGTTTCATATGGAGACCAAAAGGGCACCTCGGCGTGGTGTAATGGTTAGCAAGTTTGGCTTGCTAGATCAGTTACTACTGAAAAGTGAGTTCGATCCTCACTGGATGCCCCATACTTTCGGCCTTGTGCCACATCTAAGCTACGCTTGGAAAATCTCTACGGAGACCAAAAGGTTTTATGGCCTTTACTTTTTGATCAAATAGTTTTTGGTGTTTGAGGTTGAAAATGCAGTTATAGGCTGGATTGGTTGGTTGAAATTTAATTTTACTGTCGTACTGCATACTTAATTTTTGGAATCTAAGTTTTAGTGGTGGTTCATAGGATTCAGAATAAAGGCTCTCCACTGGGGATGTGCAAAATGCCCCCTAAAATAAGTCTTAATCCTTCATGGTGGACTGTACTTAGTGTTTTCAGGTAGGATTTTCTGGTTGCCCCAGATATGTAGCAGCCGTAATCAAGTTTTGATTGGATTAATATTCTATATAGTTTTAATAGGGTTTGCTGTGGGCTATTACACAAAGTAGTTTTAGGGTTTTGTTGCATTTCTATTTCAGATATTGTATATGTGGAATGAAAATTAGTTTTTTGTTAAAAATAACTCCTAGGAATTTATACTGGTCAATTACCGGAATTTCTGTTCTGTCTAGCTTCAGTGTTGGGTTGTTATGCATTTTCCTTAATTGACAAAAATGCACGCATTGTGTTTTTGTTTTAGAGATCTTGAAGCCGTTAATGATAGCGCATTTGTTTATTTTGTTGATGCCCTGTTGTAGTTGACGCTCTGCTGTTCACATGTATCTGGATGTGGAGGTGATACAGAAGTCATCAACATACAAATAGTTACCAACTCCAGGATTCGGGCAATTGGTAATGCTATTAATTTTGATGTTGAAGAGGGTTACCGACAGTACACTGCCTTGAGGGACACCCTCTTCTTAATTTTGAATGTCCGACAGAGTAGAACCAATTCGGACTCAGAATTTCCTATCTGAAAGAAAAGATTTTATGAAATTTGGTAGTCTGCTTTTCAATCCCATGTCATGTACGTCTTTCATGATCCTATACCTCCAAATGGTCTTGTATGCCATTTCCAGATAAAAAAAAAAAATGGCTAGAAGGTGTTGCTTTTGAATGTTTGCCTTCCTTATGGAGGTTTCCAACCTGACCACATGATCCATTGTAGATCTTTGGTTTCTGAAGCCGCATTCAGAGTTGGTGAAGAGATTATGTATCTAACTAACCTTTTATTCACCATACGTTCCATAGTTTTCCACAGACAACTGGTCAGTGCTATTGGATGTTAATTTGTTGGATAGAGATTGATTTTCCCCGGTTTATGTAAGGGGATGATGGTGGCTAGTTTCCATGATTCTGGGATATTACTCTTTTCCCAGATGTAATTAAATGTATTTAATAGGTAGTCTAATGATTTTGGAGGTAGATGCTTAAGAAATTTGTAATGAATTTCATCTGGGCCAACTGCAGTGTCATGAGATTTTTGTATGGCATCTATTCTGGTAATGTGAAGAATCCATTATAGTTTTCACTGTTGTCTGAATTGAAATTTAGCTTCTGTTTTTCTATTTTGCCTTTGTAGTTGTAAAATTCTGTGTTAGTATTGTCAGAGGAGGAGTTTGCCGAGAAGGTCTCAGCCAGTGTATCAGCAATATCTTTAATATTTGTGACCATATCATTATTTTTAATGAGGTGTTTGATTGTAGTAGGTTGTTTTTTCCCAGCAATTTTCTGGATCATTTTCCATACTGTGGTAGTTTTGGTAGAGGAATTAATTTGATTTACCTAGTTTTGCCAACTTGTCTTTTTGGCCAGCTTAATTGTTTTCCGGTTCTTTGCTCTGAGCAATTTGAATGTGTTTAGGTTACTGGTAGAGGGTTCTTTATTGAATTTATATAGGGCAGCATTTTGCAGTCTGTTTGATGGAGAAGTTTTTGGTATGGTTTCATTTGCTATTTCAATTAGTGTTTGTGTAAAGTGTTTTATTGGGTCTAAAATTTTTTAATTTTGGACCAATCTTGTATTACACAAGTTTTATATACTTATTTATTTTCCAGCAGGGTGGTCTGTTATTATCCCTGATAGGTTGAGTAATTTCTATTATAATGGGGAAATGGTCCCTGGCACAAGGATCATCATGCACCTTCCACGTATAATCCATGTAACTTGAAGGATCTGATAGGGTGATGTCAATAGCAGAATAGGAGCCGGTATATGGATTGAGATATGTTGGAGATTTATCATTCAAGATGCAGAGGTTATTGCTATTGATTATTTTTTCTAGATCCTTACTCTTTCGGTTAGTTTTCAGAAACCCCCATATGGTACTATAACTGTTAAAGTCACCTAATAATAGGTGGGGTTTAGAAATTTGTTTTATTAACTTATTAAATTTAATATCATTGATAGTGTTGCGGGATGTGCATGGAGTGAAATGTATCAGAAGGTAAATTTATGTAAGACAAAAATTATACGTGCTTATAATGCCAGTATCCCACATCATGTAGATTAAACAAACAATTTAAGGACAATTCGCATGGCAACAAATTACTAAACACAGTTGTTAGAGATCTAACAATAGAGAAATGTTTATATCAACAATAAATACATTTGTGATAACAATCAAAATGTTTGTTGTTGTAATAGCGGATAGGCTAAATTGGTGAAATGTACAATTACTTTTTTAGTAGTGAAAACATTCACTTTTTAAGTCAATTGTAGATGTTGATTAAACACGTGGACAATGGTTGATGAATTCTTTGCTGAGTTTTTTGAGTCAGTGAATTGACACGCATGGAGTTTGGTAGCATCTCATGAAACTCGATGACCGACTGATTGAATTGAGTCATGCAGTTATTTTTATAGACTTTGGTGTAGCAAAATCGGCTCCAGAGAGCTCAGTGGGGAAAAAGGATTTGTTTTGAACTTTGCTACAATTTGGTGTTTATTAGCCAATAGAAGGTTGAATTTGCAGAAACAAGATGTTGATTGGTCAAAGGCTTTTAGAGAAGAATACATCTTTCTGAAAGGGGTTAAAGGCTAATGGGTTGAAAACTATTCCATTTCTGCCGCAGTGGGTAATATATTCCAACGTAGTTGTATTACTTTTGTCAAGTTCAAGCAAAGCTTTTATCTTATTAATAAAATTGTCCCAGTCACCCAGATCCAGCTGAATTCATGTTTTGACAAATTCTTCATATTTGTTCTGTTTTTTTTTTTTCCTGATGGACTACTTGGGAATATGTGGTAGTGTTAGACTCTACTACCATCTTTCGTGCTTCTTGGTAAGGAATGTTATTTTTGTGCTTTATTGATAGAATTTCCTTTTCTCTTCTCCAACTGTCGCAAGATCTTGTGTAGACTGGATGGTCACCATCACAATTAGCACATTTATTGGGAAATTCACATTCATTCATGTGATGGTCAGGATCTTTTTGGCCACATTTCCCACACACCTCTCGTCCTCTACAAGTGTCTTCATGATGTCCATATTTTTGACATTTATAACATCTCAGAGGGTGAGGCACAAACTGCTCGATCCTCTCCATGTGGTATAGCCTACTTTAATTTTCCCAGGTATTTTCGGTGGGTTAAATGTCATTATATAGGTGTTTGTTTCTATCATTTTACCTTCTTTTTTTTATTGAAATTCATTAAACATCAATGACATCTTGTTTTTTCAACTCTTTCTTAATTACTTCTATTGTACATAAAGATAGTTCTTTGCTTCTCACAACCCCCTTACTTATGTTCAGGGATTTGTGAGGATATGTTTTTACTGGAACATTGTGGAACAGTCATTTTTAGTAGAAAATCTGCATGTTTCTTCTTTTCCACTTTGACGAGCAGTGTCCCACTTTTCAATTTCTTGACAGTTAAAGGTGTTAAGTTGCCTGATATCACCTTTTCTATTATAAAGGGGGATAAATTTGTGATCAGTGAGTTGCATGACTCTATAATAACAAATCTGTGAAAGGATGATTCCGCTTCATTATCTGAAGAAGAATCGGATTCTATATAGTTGCATTTAAGTTTTTTATTTGTAGAGGAAGTGTCATATGCCCTACTTGACGAATAATTTATAATGCAATCATACGCTGACCAGGAGATATATACATTATCACGTCTATGGAGAGATATGTGCTATCACTCCCAGACCATGACAAATGGACAATTAGTAAACAAAAATATTTTAAAGAATACTGTTCGATTGAGATAATCAAACAATAGTCTTTTCCCAGGTTTGCTTCGGTTTCAACACACATACCGATCCACAATTCAAGGATGAATGATAAGATGTAATAAATTTTGGTATAAGAATTTTAATATATACATATACACAAGATATTACAATAAAAGAAAAATATAAGCATGAGTAAAGCATCCGACAACCAGAACCTCAAGACTTATGGGATACCAAAATATGCCCAAATCCAAGTGGATTCGACTGAACCCAAAAAAAAAAAAAAATAAGTATGAATAACTACGAATGCAGAAATCGACGCATAACCAAAAAAAAAAAGAGATGGGATACGATTTATATATTACTATTTTGACATGTGGAAAGGTGTTTGTGAGAACATAAAATTTATGGATGCATGTGTATCTTTCTAACACAGGTCCAAAATATATAGATACTTCAGTTCTCTCTTTTACTCATTGTCCTTTCTTTTCTCTCTCATGTTTCCTCTTTTCTTTCTTTCTTTTCTTTACACAAATTCAATTTCAAACATGGCCTGGCTGCAACAGAGATATATACTTTCTTCTTCTCTCATTTTCTCTTTTCTTTCTTTCTTCTTTACACAGTTCAGCTTCAAACACAGTCTGGATGCAACAGAGATATATACTTTCTTCTTCTCTCTTGATTTCTCTTTTCTTTCTTCAAACACAGGCTGTATTCTCAGCATGCAAGTTCCATCATTACCAAAATGAGTCTCATCTTTCCGTTCATAAGTTATCAGCGCTTCGATTTTGAGTCTTGCTCCTTCAAAGACAAGACAGCAAGTGACTTCCAAGTAATTTTCTAATTCCCACATGTCCTGCATTTTGGCACAAATTCCAGTTCCTGCTGCTTCACGACCTTACGTCAGTCCCCTGTCTAGATTCTGTCTAGACGTCTGTTGCTACGGGTAACTGGGTCAGTCAACCTCTTGACCTGCTTCCCCAAAATGACTCAAGACTCTCACGTGACCTCTTCTGTTGTCAAGCGGAGATTAACCTTAATATATGCGTATTTGGGCTATCTGCATTCATAACAGGAAGCCATAAGTGTTTTTGTTTTTCACTGGTCCCATGCTCCTCCACCCACCACAGAGTCCAACTTATGTTGGGGATAATCCAAGAGGAAAACCCATTTGCCTTGGCTGAGATGGGGGATACAAAACCAGTATACTCATGCCAAGAGTATGATTCTGAACCTCTATCAAATGCACAACAGTCTAATATTGGTCAAAAGTCATATCTCACGACAGCCTCAGCCTCCACCTTCTAGCATAGAGGGTTGGGAATAGTTTCGCAAGGGTAGATCGATAGTTCTACACGAGCAGATTGTATAACATGATCAGGAGAAAATAAAAACAAATATATGTGCTAGTGCATGTCAGGACCAGCCGATTGATTGGATTAGGCCTCTTCGTCTAGCCCAGATAAGAGCCAAAGTGGAGTGTTGCAGAGCCATGGCTGCTTTTTCCCGGGTCATGGATTGCTTAGCCACCAGAATCCTGTCTTCGGGTATTACAGGTCTAGTGTGACAGGTTTATTCTTCCGCTCTATGAGTTTGGTTAGAGGTGAAACAATAGCTGAGCAGTTGTGGTAAAAATTCACCATGCCAATAAAACATATTTGTTTTGTTGATGCGGGTGTTGGGAAATTCCTGATAGCATGGATTTTGTCAGGTAGTGGGGTAATCCCGTTAGTGTCAATCTGGTGACTTAGGAAATGAATCTGGGATGCTCCCAAAATACACTTGTTGCTGTTCAGGACTTCTTTCAGGTGCTGTTTGTGGGTATCTCTGTCTGTGCTGGCCACGAGTATGTCATCGATGTAGGTGTAGGCAAAAGGTATGCCACGCAGTACTTCGTTCATGAATCATTGGAATGTGTGAGCTGCATTCCTTAGGCTGAATGGCATTTTAAGATATTTGAAGAGGCCAAAAGGTGTGATAACAGCGGTTCAGGGGCTACAGGGATATGATGATACGCCTTTATTAGATAGATTCTTGAGAAGACGCAGACACCTTGCAGTCCTGACGCAAAATTGTGTATGTGTGGGACTAGGTATTGATTGGGGATGGTTGCAGCATTCAGTCTTCTGTAGTCAATGTATATTCTAAAATCTGTGCTACCAAGTTTAGGCACAAGATGCAGGGGCAAAGCGTATGGGCTGTTAGAAGTCCCGCCTAACCAATAAGGACAGATTGAACTTCCAGTAGCCTGCCATTCTAGGCCTACAATCTAATGCCATCAGGGCACAAACTAGTTTGTGGTCCAAATGACCTACCCAGTGGAATGTGGAGCAATCTAACAAGTCTATGTCTGCTCCTCTAACTAACATTCTATCCAGGTAGCTAACCACCTGGGTAGGCGATCAACTATGGGCCCACATCCACATCTTACCCCTGGGGTGATTGACCCGGTATCTATCAATGAGACCAAACTTGTTGATCAGATCAATCAGGCTACGATCCCCCTCGTCCCACTAGCTCCTCGCCCCCTGTCTAAATTGGGGTTCAGGACGGCATTCCAGTCCCCCCATTAAGACTAGGCACGTTGAATCCACCAGGAACGGCCACAACTGCCGAAATAACAAGACATGCTCCTCATGATCATTGGGTGCATAAACCGCGATGATTCGGAACGGACCACTTTTCACGGCAACATCAACCACGACCAACTGGCCCTTGGCATCGGTATGCACAAGGTTCACCCTTGCATCCAAGGTACGGTTAACTAGCAAAGAGACCCCCCCCCTGCCAGTTGGTCCCCATATGCTGAATAGACAACAAAGTCGTTAGTCAGCACACAAGCATGGTGACATCCACACCGAACGACAAGAGGTCACAAAGTAGGCGGGCAGCCTTACCCTGACCCCTCAAGCCCTTTGCATTCAGACTGGCTATCTTAATTGATATCTTTTAAGTCTGAAACAAAAAAAAGAATGTCGACCTACTCACATACCAGGCAGAAATCTGCCGCAGAAATGACCTTGATGGATTGTCCTAGGCTCCCTGTGCCCAACTCCATTGTTATCCAACCATCCAGGACAATACCGCCAACGTCCGTAGGGTAGGTTAACTTAATAGCCCTATATAAGGAAGGATGGAGCAAAATGGGGACCCACCCTGCACAAAATTGTTTAAGTTTTCTCAAATCACTGTTTTCAAGTTCTACCATCCTGATGTCTGGATAGGCTTCTTTTGCCTCAAATAAGTGACTCTACACTTTTAAATAACCCCCATGTCCCTGACATATGTGATTATTCCTGGGGCACATGGGAAATTTTGGGGGTCCTCGACAGACTTGCCTTTAATTTTTTTTCCAGTTTGAAAAGAGGTCTTAAAAGGGCCTTTCTTTGTTTGAATAGGTTCTTTTTGAACTCCTCTTTTGGGCCTGGGAAAAATTTCTTTTTCTCCCTTAAAGGGTGGAAGGGAGAAGAAGTGGATGTGTGAGGGGGAGTAGATAGTGAACTGAGGGAAGAGATGGAGGAAGAAGGGAACGAAGCATGGGAGAGAGAAGTAAGGAGGCTCTTTGCTTTTGTTGAGATCATGCTTTCCTTTGGCAAAGCAGGGACAGACAGCGACCTGGTTCTGTCCATGACCCTCTACGCTCTACTCCGGCCAGAGTGTCTTTGCTGTGCTTCATCTTCATTTTCTTCTTCTATGCTCCTCTTTAGAAATACTGCCTGAGGTGGAGTCATTTCTTCCACCTCCATTGGCGTGTCTATCTGCTGCTGCTGCTTCTTTCTTTGTTGTTTTTGGTCTGACTGCTTTTGCAGCACTTACTTTGGTGGATGCATCTCCTTCTGCTTTTCTGGCCGCTTAGGTTGGGGTGTATCCTGCGGAGATGGACCAGATTTCCAACCCTTTCCTACCTTCTTTCAGGCTCCATCAACCATTCTTGTGGTTGATCCTTCCTCAGCTGGTGTCACGACCACTGCTGCTGGACGAGGTGAAGGTTATGTACTTTTACCGGGGAACTCCTTTGCCATGTGGCCTAAAGCACTACACAACCAGCAATAGGGCCTCCTGCCATCGATGACCACCAACATTCTTTTGTCATGGCAGCCCAGAATATTAGGAATTTCTTCAAAACTTTTCCGGTTCACCATCACCTGTATTTCTATGTTGCAATGCTTACTTTACTTATGAGGGCCTTCACTTAGTTTACTTCACCATATTTGGGGAAAAAGGCCCCCATTCTGTCCTCTGAAATATCTACTGGCACCCCATGGATGGTAACCTTTGTTCTGTGGGTGCCCATGTTCTCCATTTGCAGTCGCAGGTTTCTTGGCCCCTGTCACCTTTTCGTACCGATCAAGCGCCTTCTGTACCGCCTCAATGCCTCTGCAGGACGACATGAAAGCAGATACGTCATCGGCGTACGTGGAAACCCTGGATCAAGCCCCGCCAGGGAAGCGGCGATTCAGCGTGGGGCGGCCTGCAGCCCTGTCCCTCAGCCGGCAAAGGGAGAGGCTCAATGCCAAACGCATAAAAGTAGGCGACAGTGGGCAACCTCACCGAACCGACCTGAACAAGCGCCAAAGTGCCACGACAGCTTCCCATTCACCTGTACCACAGCACAGGGGGAAGGCGATACAGGGGGCTAATTCGGCGGCAAGTCGGGTTCCCGATCCGGCCTGAAGGACAGTAACAAGGTGGCGATGGTCAACCCCTATCAAATGCCTTGGACTGATCCAGTGAATCATGCGACTCTCTCGTCGTCTTTTACTCCCTCTACGATCGTGCGGGATCAAATGCAGGTTGCTCCTAATTGTTTGACCCCTCACAGCACAGGTCTGCTCGGGACCCAACAGAGACTCGACAACTGACTGCAAGCACTCCTGCAGGATCTTGGCCAGAATCTTTAACTCTGTGTTTAGCAGAGTTATGGGCCTGTAGTCGTCTAGTTTCCCCCCGACACCCTTGCCCTTTTTCAACAGCGTGATCACACCCCTGGAGAACCGGTCGGGGAGGGACCCCTGCTGGAACCAGTTGTTGGACACTACCGTCAAAATCAGGAGAAAGATGTGTGACAGCCTCAAGTACACTTCATAGGGCAAACCATCCAGACCGGTCATCTTGCCTCTGCCAACCTTCTTCAAAGCCGCGTAGACCTCACCCTCGGTAATCTCTCCCTCGCAGCTAGCCGCTTCGGTCAGTGAAATATAGCTGCGAAACTTGTCCTTATGAAGACCAGGCTCCTTGGTAAAGCAGCTCTTGAAATGCCGCCGAAATGCCTCGCACATGTCGTTAGTGGCCCGAAGGGTATGCCCCTCCGGGGTTTTGACTTCACGAATGTAATGATCGCCACCTCGACGGACCTCTTCCCTGGGCAGATCTGCGCCCATATTCATGGCTTTGGAAGACATCTTGCTTAACTTATGTCTAATTACCTGGCCCATGTAGCGCCTGCTTATTCAAACGCCCAGGGCCTCCTTAGCTACTGACTATCTCTGGGGATCCCCCCAGCCACCGCCCGGGAATAACTAGCTTTGTTGCCCTCACCTTATCAGCTCTATCTAGGGTGAGCCGCTTGTTGAAATCAGTGGTGAAGGACCCAATTCTACATTTAAGTCTGTCCCACCACCTATTCCCGATAACCGCCCCCACTAGCTCCCGCTGCACTAAGCTAGTCAGCTGCTCCCAGAAGTCCCGCCTGTCCAGTAAAGACAGATTGAACTTCCAGTAACCAGCCATTCTAGGCCTATGTTCTAACGCCACACGGGCACAAACAAGTTTGTGGTCCATATAGCCTACCCAGTGGAACGTGGACAATCTAACAAATCTGTGTTCTAACATTCTGTCAAGGTAGCTAACCACCTTGTCACAAGGCCAGCTAAGAGCCCACGTCCACATTTTCCCCCCGGGAATAACTAGCTTTAAGCGTCCTCACCTTATCAGCTCTATCTAGGGTGAGCCGTTTGCTGAAATCAGTGGTGAAGGACCGAATTCTACATTTAAGTCTGTCCCACCACCTATTCCCGATAACCGCCCCCACTAGCTCCCGCTGCACTAAGCTAGTCAGCTGCTCCCAGAAGTCCCGCCTGTCCAGTAAAGACAGATTGAACTTCCAGTAACCAGCCATTCTAGGCCTATGTTCTAACGCCACACGGGCACAAACAAGTTTGTGGTCCATATAGCCTACCCAGTGGAACGTGGGACAATCTAACAAATCTGTGTCGGCCCTTCTGACTAACATTCTGTCAAGGTAGCTAACCACCTTGTCACAAGGCCAGCTAAGAGCCCACGTCCACATTTTCCCCCCGGGGTGATCTGCCCGTTATCTAGCCACAAGACCGAAATCATTGATCAGATCGATCAGGCTACGATCGTCCTTTCTCCCGTTAGCACCCCATCCTCGATCTAGCTTGGGGTCCAGGACGGCATTCCAGTCCCCCATTAGAACTAAGTGCGTCGAATCCACCAGGGAAGGCTCCAACCTTCGAAAAAAACAAAACTCGCTCCCCCTGGTCGTTGGGTGCATAAACCGCAACGACCCGAAACGAACCACTTTTCATGGCAATATCGCCACGATCAACCGCCCCTCGCGGTATGCACAAGGTCCACCTTCGATCTAGAGTCCGCTTCACCAGCAAAGACACTCCTCTGGCAGCTTGGTCCCCATATGCTGAATAGACGACAAAGTCGTTAGACAGCACACACGCATCGGAACTGCAAACAAAGTGGGTCTCTTCGATCGCGGCGACATCCACGCCGAACGACAAGAGATCCCGGAACAGGCGGGCCGTCTTACCCCAATTCCTCAAGCCGTTCACATTCAGCGTCGCTATCTTGATAGACATGGTTTAGGCCTGCAAAGAAAAAAGCCTACTCACATACCAGGCGGAAATCTGCACTGGTAAGGACTCTGACGGCCTGTCCTAGGTTCCCCGTTCCTAATTCGGTCGTCATACGACCGTTCAGGACAATCCCGCCAACGTCCGTGGGGTATGTTAGTTTTACCGCCCTATATAAGGAGGGATGGAGTAACACGGGGACCCTCCCAGCACAAAAGTTTCTTAGTTTCTTTAAAGTGGAGTTTTCTGTTTCCACGATTCTGATGTTGGGGAAGGGCTTCTTTAGCCTCAAAGATGTGGTTCCACACTTTTAAGTAAGCCCCCTTCTCCCTCACGCAGTTTATTATGCCCGGGGCCTGTGGGAAGTTTTGGGGGTCCTCAATACTTTTCCCATCTACGGAGTCCATTTTGCATTCAACGCCTCCTTGATTGTGAGGAACTCGTTTCCTTTGAAAGTTCCCTCGAATTTCGTTCTTTGATTTTTTTTTTTTTTTTTTTTTGGCATGCAAAGGACAAAAATTATTATTTAGGAACAAAAAAAAAAAATACAAAACAAAAAGAGCAAACCAAAGACAATAATAGTTTCAACAAAAAAGGAAAACGGTAAATTAAAAAGCGGGATGGGTGTAAAAACAAAAGGGAATAAGAAAAAACCCAAGAGAAAAACGAAAAATAAAAAGTTTTTTTTTTTCTTCCTTTTCTTTCCCTTGAAAATAAAGAATAAAAAAGGAAAAACTTATCGGTTTAGGTTGTCCGAGAACTCTGGCCAAAACATAGTCAATTTTTTTTTTTTATTTGCCTTGTGTCAGATATTGTCCGTTTTGTAAATAAATCCAAGTAATCCAGGTAATGTAAAAAGTCCAAAAATTCAGATATCAAGCTGGTAAGAACAGATAATACACTTTGATCTTAAACAAAAAACAAAAAAAATGGTGTGTGTGGGGGGGGTCCATGTGAGAATCTCAATGCCTCAACCCCATGGTCCTTGTGCTGAATGGGTGAAGTGTTGCTGCTCTCATGTCAGCAGGTGTCGGTCAGAGATACGGGTCCTGAATGTTGATTATTATTATTAAATTAATTCTGCCGTCCGCGTTATTCAGGCATATGTTGTTAGTACAGTGCGTAAATGTATTATATAATGTTTGCAGATATAATTTTCCACCAGAAAAGTTTTGTTGATGGTTTGTTTTTTTTTTCTTTTTAGACTAGTGCTTTTGTATAATCGGGAGTGGCCTAACTTCCAGGTACAATATGTCATTTCATTTACAAAAGTTTTTTTTTACATCTTCTCCATCATTCATCATGACAGATCCATTAATGATTCTGGTGGACATAAATTTCCTGTTTATGTGTGTATCTCACAGTGGCCAATGCTGTTTGTTTTGGCAGCTTGATCTTGGATGATTGGTTCTGTCAGTTTCAGTCCACATGATGTACCTATTTGTCTTGTCATTTACAATATTTCCCCAAGCATAATATACATTCATCCATAATACACACACCTAAAAGTGTGGGAAAATCCTTCTACTTGCATCATAATACATACCTTTGTTTGGTAATCAAACCGTATAAATTTTACCTCTCCAATTTCATTACAGTCAGCATTTCCTACTCTTATTTAAGCTGTAATTGAAGATATTCATCAAAATTTCTGATCACAATTCTAAAGGGTAATGGAAATACCTATATTGTGCCTACTGCACAGACTCATTAACCTGTTTATGCTCGATAAATGTGCAATCTTCTGGATCCGTATATAATTTGAGTTACTTATACATAACTTGTGTTTGCTTAATAGTTTGAGTTAGATATACATAAGTTGAGTTGTGCTTAAAAAGTAGAATAAGAGTTGATCTGAGAAATATTTTTAACAAAGGATAAAATAAACAAAGAAATGAATTCAATGAAATTTATTATGACTTAGTCCATGCGCATTCATTGTTAAAGTGATCACTGTCAGAATTAGGGGATGAAAATCCCAGGATTTCCTAGATAAGAAAACTCTGGGACGGGAAATATCAGGATTTCGGGAAATGTATCTAAAGGAGATATTTTATAAAGTTTCATATTTTTATTAATAATTACATGTCTGGCCCTTCTAAATTTTTCTTATAAACCTTATTCTAAAATTTTAATTTATTTAAGACCTTGTAAAAATCTTTTAATATTAAAAGAGCATTCAACAAGTCTGTACTTAAGCTATTTCTCTGTTTAGTCAAAAACATGCCTAAAATAGAAAATGTATGCTATACTTCACCTGAAGTTGCGGGAATTGACTCTAAAGCTTGCATTAGATTTTCAATATTTTCACTTTTTTGTTCATGATAGTGTGATGTCTAAAAAGTTTGCTATCAAAAATATTTTTCTTTTAAATGTAAAAGGGACATTTTCCTTTAATGAAATTTTAAATTTAAACTTATATCTATAATAATAAAATGATAGATTCAGTAAATTAAATATACTGAGGGGATTTTGATTTAAATTTTTTTTTTTTTTTAAATCATTTAAGTAAAAAAACACCTATTCAATATTTAAAAAAAAAAATCCCAGGACTTCCTGACTTTTAAAAAAATTTTTACTCTGGGATAAAAATTGGTGTCATTGTATAGACCGTCCCTTCATCACCTCTTTCACTTCTTCATCTTTTCCCTCCCTTCATCACTTCCTTTCACTTCTTCATCGTTGCCCTCCCTTCATCACCTCCTTTCACTTCTTCATCTTTGCCCTCCCTTCATCACCTCCTTTCACTTCTTCATCTTTTCCCTCCCTTCATCACCTCCTTTCACCTCTTCATCTTTGCTGGCATCCTCCTCTTCCTCAATGTCCTCCTAGAGAATATCATCCTCTGTGCCATCCATAGCATTTGTAATGCAGCACTTTTTAAAGCCCTTAATGATGATGGCTGGGTCAACAGCCTCCCAGGCTTCTTTGATCCACCCAGCAATGACCACTATGTTCACTTTCTTGCAGTTTCCTCAGGGAGGAGGAGGGCTGAAATACTGGTTACCTGATAGCATCCATTTTTTCCACTTGGCTTTCAAATGATGCTTGAACGGTTTTATTGCAACAAATGTCCAAGACCTGCAATTGACTGGTCATGCCACCCAATAGGATGACCAAGTCAGTCCTGTCCTTCTCTAGGATTTCCTTGATCATTGGCATCCTATCAGACTGGAAGGCATCAAGGGCTAACATCCTTCTCTTTGTGGAGTGATGTTGGCACTATACCGTTCTGAGCGAGTCTTGAGTTAGTGACTCGTTCATCCAACCTTTGGGATAGCACCTTACATGGACTCCACCTAGCCATTTGGCCTTTTTAAGTAAAGTTTTTCTCTTTAGGCACCTGACATAACATAATCTATTTTTTTTCATTACCAGTGGATTTTATGGTAATGCTGCTTGTTCCTTTCAAGTCTAGTGTTTGGGATGGTGTTAAAGGTTAAAGAGTATTGGGTCTGTATGGCCAATGTCCTTTATGTCATGGGTGTGTCCTTTCCTCAAGTTTACTACAAACTTCTGAAATTTTGTAACTTTTTGGTCTTGATCATGAGGAAGTTTCTGTGCAGTTGCAGTTCATGAACCTGTAGCACCAATTTGGGAGGCTTTGGAAGTTTTTGTCGGGCTATTTTTTTTTCATCTTTTTCAGGGCCAATGACCTTATGTCTATAGTGCTGATAGCAAGTCCAGCAGCCCGCCTTTCTACAATTTTCTCCACCAATTCTTTTTCCACTTGAGGATACTTGGCCTCTTTTTCTCTACTGAGAACTCTTGAAGAAAGTTTGCAGCCACGATTTTTTCCTTGTTTTTTTCTCCATAAATTTATATTTGTTTCATTTATATTGTACTTTCTTCCTGCTGCACGATTTCCCACTTGTTCTGTCACAGCAATAACTTTTCTCTTGAATTCACTGGGTTAACTTGTTTTTGAATTCATCAGGGTTGATGTAGAGTAAGAATAAGAGTAGGTACCGTGTCTAATTTTTACCTTATCTTTTTGTAGTATATTTATATTTTGCATGAGTGCAATAAATTCTTTTTTGTTTACAAGCACAGGTTATCTGAAAAGAAAAAATTATTTTCATGCAAAGACACATTTGTTTAATTAATATATATATATGTGTGTGTATATATATATATATATATATATATATATATATATATATATATATATATATTTATTGTTATGCCATGCACATGAAATGTGATGCTATAAATACATAACAACAGTATAATATTATGTATATGTCTATTTATTTCAATCATACATGTTTCATTAAATAATATAAACAAGTGCTGTCTATTTATTTTAAGTAAATTCTTTTCATAACGTCTGATAAGCTTAATAACATTATCATTAAACGAAGAAAGAAAATCACAAAATTTGATCTATATTATTTAATCCAATCTATTTATTATTATTATTTATTTATAGATACATAGGAATAACTTAATTTTTTTTTTTTAAATCTGTGAAACTTTGACAATAATTTTTCTTAATGTCCTGACTTCTCTTGTACTTATCACTTACACTTTCTTCACATAGCAAAAAGTTTTGTTTTATTATTTTTCCACTAATTTCTCTGTCTCTAATTACTCTGATGTCACTTTCAGTTAGTCTGATGTAATATTATCTTGTTTTTCTTCTTCTGGGTCCCTACAATGAAAACTAAGTCTGCATCTGTAATGCTGTTGTCACTCTCATTTGCGCTTCTGTTCCATCTTGGCAAATTTACTGGTGTTTTCATGCCTCTTGCTAGTTTTCTATTGTAATAGTTGCTATAGAAAAAGTTGCAGTCTGTCATGGATAATTGATGTGTTGCACACACTTGTGCTGCCTGTTCCTCATCAAATTTAGATCCTGATGAAGCCATGATCTCTTGTCGCGCGACATCATTTACTTCTTTTTCAAGGTTTCTTTTAACTTGTGTATTTTTGATCTTTTAGCAGGCAAAGCTAGATCATCCTTTGAGTATAAGCAATGTCTTGCAGACCTTGAGGATTCTCCACTGTTATTAATTATTTTTTAGTATTTGTTGTTTACATATTTTTTTTATATAATCTTTCAAGATTGTTAGCCACGTTAATAGGTTAAGTTCAATGATACCCCATTCCATTAATTTTGTCATTGGTCTCGTCTTGTAGTAGTATACGCGATTCAAGATGGCCTCTTTTTGTTCATTATGACTTTCCACGGCTTGCAGTTACTGGTGCTTAGACACGGCATTCTCTTCAAAAGCCTTTCCACTTGGTGTTTGATGTTTACGTAACTTTCTGTTCCCTCTAGTATGCATTTTCCCTCCTCTACGTTCTGTGGTGTAAGGCACATTTTTTCTGTGTAGATGAGGGTCTTCTTCACACAGCTTCCGAAAGTGAAATTATTGCTTGCCTGGCATCTCATTCTGTCGCAGTTCATTAGGCCATTTCTTATGGATCTTAGGATGTATGATTTACCGGAGTTGCTGACACTGGTGATGTGTAGACCTTTTATTTTAGGCTTGATCTTGTGACAGATCTCGAAAGTGTGTTTCGAAAACTGCTTTATGTCGATCTTGTGCAACGAACACCCTTCCTCGTAAATGTTTATACTTTTTATGATTGATCAGTATCTATTCTTGTCTAGCGGGAAATGTACTTTTTTGTCCCAAATCTATTCCCAGATTGATGTTACTTTGGTTTCCACATTGACTTTGGTTACTGCAGCCTGAATTATTATGTTTAAGTTTGCAGTGTTTTTAAATATGCTCATTCATGTGTCGTCGTACTGTGTTTTTATGCTTTTTTTGCAATACATTGTCATGTCACCCATATCAGTTGAATTACATTTTAACATCCATCTTCTTGATGAATTTGTATTTTTTCTGCATATGGTTTGCTTCTTGTCATCAAAGTATTCTTTACTTTCATTTTCATTCTCTAACTTCTTTGCACTCAGCTGATGTAACAACTTTTTTTGACATCTGCCATAGTTAATCCTCCTGCACATAACACATACTTATGATCCAGCTGTAGTGTTAGATAGTTTGTAAAACTGTATGGGTTGTATATTTTTGACATTTAATAATGTACTGTGGTACACTATTGTTTTGTTGAGTATGTTTGATGGATATTTTTTTTTTTTTTTTTTCAGACTGCTGTTCTCTTCCCATCAAAATTTGTTATTCCCATCTATAGATCCATGTCTAGGCCTTGAACTGTTTTCTTTCTGTTTTGTCATTTAGTATGCAATCCTTGAACTTTTTTAGCCTCTTCAAATTGTGTGCACTGGGCTTATTCTGGTAATCTTGACCAATCAGAGCGTATCATGCGGAAGCAACATGCCGGCAAAAAATGGTTTTAAACATAGAATAATATTATTTTAATTTAGTATTATGATAATTCTTATTTTATTTTACATTTGTAAGTATTATTAGATGCATATGATTGTATTCTATATCCTTATGGGGTCGCAATTGCTGAATGTTAATGTCAAATTGTCATATGCTTGTTAGTAGTTATTTCACAACTGAAATCAACCAATGAAATGGCAATTTTTAAAGGTTTTTCTTTTGTAGCTGTGCATAATATGCACCCCTAATTTTGCTTATTTTTTAGGAAAAAAGCTGTATTATACGTGGGGAATTATGGTATTTGAAAACTGTTTGATGTGAAGTAGAAGTTTAGCACTAGTCAGTCGCTAAGCTTGTCCTCATTATTCTCAGTGACAAGTTATATAGGCTTTCTCTTGCACTTATGCAAATTAGGCATATTAATTTGCCAGTATCACATCTCCCTGAAACGTATAGGTTTTATACCTCTAGTAGTTCTTGTACTTCTTCTCGTGATAGTTTCATTACTTTGCTTTACTTCTCTCTCTCCCGAATTTCTTTTTCTGGAAGACCTAGATCTGTAATCTAAGCTGTAATCATAGGCATCTTCTTGCATTATTTGATCTTTGTCCGAACTTTCAAACTCATTCTGTCCCACTTGATCCTGCATTATTTCATCTTCTGATGTTTCATTCTGTAACGGTTGTTCTAATAAATCATTATTCACCCTGGGTCCTTATTTGATCTGCATGGGCTAATACACTGTTGCCATTTTCTCTATTTATTATAGCTGTATTGTAGCCTTTTTGCATGATAAATTCTGCCCTCTCTGAATTTGCTTCTTTGTTCTTTTTGTACCACATTTTTTCATTTGTGGAATACAACATCGTTAGCAGAGATCTAATTTGTCTTCCCATTAAAGCTGATGGGCTTTCTAGTCTTCCAGCGTGTGGTATTGTGCAATAGCTTAAAAGCAGCCTCGGTAGAAAAACTTCTACTTTTTCTTTTTGCTGAGAGCATGCTTTTAGTCCCGTTTTTAAGGTCTGCACCATTCTTTCCGCTAACCCGTTTGACTGACGGTAATATGGGGGTGTCTTATACGGTTTACATCCTATTTTTTCTAACCATAAATTAAGATCTTCATCACAAAATTCTGATGCTTTGTCAGATACCAATGTTTTTGGTATGCTGTTTCTGGAAAATATAACCCTTAAAATCTGTTTTATCATAGAACTTTTCTTGTCTGGCACCTGGATTATTTCAGGCCAGCCTTAAAAAGAGTCTACTAGAATTAATAAGAGTCCCACTCCAGTAATATATGCATGATCCATAGGCACTCAATTCCATGGCTCCACTTCTCTGGGCCACGAATGTAAAGTAGTCTGTGTAAAGTTTCTTAATTCTTTATATTTTTTGCACCTTTTTATATATTCTTCAACATCTCTTGAATATCCCGGCCCCCATGCTTCTAATTTTATCCTTTTTTGTGTGGCCGCTACTCCACAGTGTATATCATTATGTACACTTTTTATTACCAATTTTCTTTGTGTTTCTGGGGGAACTACCAGATCCCCATTACAAATCACTCCATGTTCTATCGTTAATTTCTGTATTATTTCTTTGTAGGGTCTTTCCGCCCTAGAACAATTTCCCCATGAGTTTTT